AAAAAAAAAAAAAAAAAAAAAAAAAAAAAAGACATGTTACATGGTTAGGTTTTATTTATTACAATAGATAGATATATATTTTTTTAAAATGTGTTTATGTTTTGAAAAGAAAAATATTTACATACTTATATTTGGGAAAAATGTATGTTTGAAAATTTGAAGTATTTGAATATTTTTTATATCAAAATATGAGTATTTCCCTCAATGACTTGTGTTTGAAGCCTAGTTGAAGACACATAAATCGGGTTACACTGGGGTTCGACTCTCAAGTCTCAACCCTTATATTTTTTCTTGATTTTAGCCGAGATGTCTAATAAGATCTAAGGAAACTACTTTGGTGTATGTTTTTCTTTCGGGAAAATGACTCTTGAGGGTAATTAATTTTTGCGTTTGTACTCATTTGGTCCTTTTTTTTTTTTTTTTTTTGTATTCAATATACCATCGAACTTGTTGTTGGTGTTTACCATAGCCCTTTTGACCGGCTTTTGATCTGTGATAGTCGGTCAAAGAGTTATGGTAAACACAAACAACAAGTTTGATGGTATATTGAGTACAAAAAAAAAAGGAAAGGGACCAAATGAGAACAAACGCAACAGTTGGTTACCCTCCTGATTCATTTTCCCTTTACTCATTTACAACAAATCCCACATCATCTCCTATTGATATTAATGACTTTATGAGATTCATTCTTGCTTCTCTTCAAAACATAACCTACGAAAGGATATTATTCATACATGTACAACTTTGTAATGCACTTGAATATCTATTAATGGAATCTTGACTAAGTAGACGCATTTCATGACTACATTTACATTTCCAATCAAATGATTTATCGTATCATGGATTCTAAACAAGTCTACAAACGAGTGGAATCACAAGTGCTATGATTTTTGAGTTTACTTAGCTATAAGATCGAACTCATGGGATAAGATACAACCTCAATATGTACAATATTATGATGATGTGTCTACAAAAGCAGCATGATATTATACATATTGATGTTGTATCTTATCCTATGAGTTCGATCTTAAAGCTAAGCAAACTCAAAAATCACAGCACTTGTGATTTCACTCGTTTGTAGATTTGTCTAGAATCCATGATACGATAGATCATTTGATTGCAAATGCAAATGTAGTCATGAAATGCGTCTGCTTAGTCAAGATTCCCCTAATAAATATTCAAGTGCATTACAAAGTTATACATGTATGAATAATATCCTTTCGTAGGTTATGGTTTAAAGAGAAGCAAGAATGGATCTCATAAGTTATGGGATTTGTTGTAAACGAGTAAAGGGAAAATGAATCAGGAGGGTAACCAACTGTTGCGTTTGTTCTCATTTGGTCAATTTCTTTTTTTTTGTACTCAATATACCACCGAACTTGTTGTTTGTGTTCACCATAACCCTTTGACCGGTTATCACAGGTCAAAAGCCGGTCAAAAGGGCTATGGTAAACACCAACAACAAGTTCGATGGTATATTGAAAAAAAAAAAAAAAAAAAGGACCAAATGAGTACAAACGCAAAAGTTAATTACCCTCAAGAATCATTTTCCCTTTTCTTTCCGATGCTATAGTGTTGGTGCCAAGTCAATTTTGATTTCTTTTTTATATCGGTTTCAAGTATCTCACAAGTTGACTTAGCCCGATAATACCCTTAAGTGTTATTTAGAAAATCATGGAATTAAACACATGCATATTTCATATAAATTATGATTATGCAATGTCAATGAAAGTTGCATCTTTATTGTGATCGTGAGCTATAAATTTATAAATTTGCTGGCCGACAACATTATATCATATTTTGTAATGTACTAACTTACTTTTAAATTTTAAAAACTATCAACTTGAGTTCAAAAATATATTTTGTACTCTTATTAATGAAATCGTTGATTTTTTGTATGTCAACTCCAACGTTCCTTTCAAACTGCGATACAGTTTCTAGTCAAATCATCATCAAACTTTCATCACGTAATGGAGTAACTTTAACTTTAGAATCACGGGAACCCTCATGATTTTTATGTGATTAATTATTTCTAATTGAATAACGTATATTTCGTAAAAGGTTAGGTTTGATATTAAAAACAATGAAAATTAGTCATCGGAGTAAAACATGCACATGCTTTGGTCTATCAAAAAAAAAAAAAAAAAAAAAAAAAAAAACTATATTTTTCATAAAGCAAATAAACACATGGGATGAGAGCCCTTCCAGAATACATCCATCCTGGCCATGTTTTGAGAGTAGTGTGACATTGGCAAGCACGTGCATGACACATGTTTTATTGCGTCATTAATACCTATATAATCTTTTACCTTTTTAGTATAATGTTACAGAAACAGTCCTTGTAATTTGGTACAAATTGCATATTCGTTCTAATTCAAAAAAAAAAAAGTTTGGAAATCTCTTAAAGTTTAATATGTTATATTGTTAATTTAAATAAAAAGTGGTGAATTTGTTTGGAATATCTTAAACTAGTTTGGAGTGTGTGTTATGAGTTATTAACGAATATATATATATAAATTGCGTGTTATTAAAATTTCCGAATTGGCGAGCAAAATTTGTAAAACTTATTCGCCAGGTGGCGTATCCTTATTGGTTGTGATTTATAGTTATAGCGAATCGAGTTTAAGCAGGTGATGGGATGGGGTCAGGCTGCAAGGCTTTCTTGACCAACTCCGACTGTTCAGTCCCGTGAACTCCATAGAATCCGGTGGCGGTAGCAGCAGAGGTTCCGCGGCCCACGTACTTGATGTCATATATCGTACCTCTTCCCAACACCTTCATGGCTGTAGCAAGCCGATGAGAAATGTAGGAATATGCCCCCATGTTCATCGGCTCCTCCTGACACCAAACAATCTCCGCATCTGAACAAATAATTGTGTATTAGTATTATTAGTCATATAAAATAATTTCAAAGGTATTAAAATTAATTTTCAGTACTTACTTGGGTAACGCTTTAGTTCACGCTGGATTAGGTCATATGGGAAAGGGCAAAGCTGTTCGACCCTACAAATTGCGACGTCTTTACTATCCGTTGACTTCCTTGCTTCATCAAGCTCATAATACACCTAGAGAGTAAGAAAATATGTGAATCCCTTATCCCTAATCATTAATAATAGATAGTCCTAGAAAGTAAGAAAATTTGGATGTACCTTTCCAGAGCATAGAACTAAGCGTCTAATGCCCTCTTCGAGATCCGAGTGGCCATTTTGATCCTTGATAAGACGCTTAAAGCGGGTCCCTTGTTTGTCATAGCCCGGGTGGCCTTCAGCATCATCGAATTCTGATAAATTTGACTTGCAGTCTTTATGTCGAAGCAAATTTTTAGGGGACATTACAATAAGCGGCTTACGGAAGTCCCTGTGCAGCTGCAATAGCCAATATATTAAAAGTTATGATGTTTTTTTTTTTTAAATAAAAAAAAAAAAAAAAGGATGAGGTTAACTTACTTGTCTACGCAAGACATGGAAATAATTTGCTGGGGTTGTGACATTGACGACTTGCCAATTGCATGTTTGGATTTGCGTACGGAGTGTGGGGTCCATTTCGGGGATAACAAACGGATCATCGTCGCTCATCTGGGATCATCAAATTAAAGTTTATAAAGAGATTTGAGATTTATAAAGAAATAACGAAAAGAGGAATGAGGAATGAATTAATACTTGAAGGAAACGTTCGAGCCTTGCACTGGAATGTTCAGGGCCCTGACCATCGTAGCCATGAGGGAGCAATACGACTAAGCCAGTCTGTCGTAGCCACTTGGCCTCCCCACTGCTTAAGAATTGGTCAAACATGACCTGAGCTCCGTTTGAAAAATCACCAAATTGGGCTTCCCATAACACCAAGGAATTTGGATTTTCCATTGAATAACCCAATTCAAACCCTAGAACACCAAACTCCGAAAGAGAGCTGCATATCCATCCATTCAAAAATATTAAGTATTAATTCAATAGTTGTGATTATTAAGCGAGTTAGCTACCTGTTGCTGACAGTGAACATTTCGGGATGCTGATTGGACATAACATGATCCAACGGACAGTATCGATCACCAGTGTCCTGATCATGGATGACAGAATGACGATGACTGAAAGTACCTCTCTCAACATCCTGACCACTCAACCTCACGTGATTCCCCTCCACCAACAGAGTCGCGAAAGCAAGAGCTTCTGCAACCGCCCAATCAACACCCTCCCCTGATTCGATCATCTTTAATCGGTCGCCAAATATCTTTTTAACTGCTCTGTGAGGCTTGAAGCTTTCTGGAAGCGTTGTGATTGCCTCCCCAACATTCTTCAAGATTTCAGGCTTCACCCTGTCAATCAGAAAACATTTAACTTTTTTAGTAACAGAAATTTTTTTTTGGGACCAAATATGTAATTTTTTTTTTTACCCGGTGTTACGAATGCGTGAGAGTTGTTCAGGGGACTTGAAACCTGACCAGTAAGCTGAAAGCCAATCCCTTTTCTTTTGGGCATAATCTTTACTTGCCATGAATTCTTCATTCAAGATTGTGGTTACCTTGTTTTGCATTCTGTCGATGTCTTCTTTTGTTGATTGACCACTTTCCAACAGCTTCTTTTGGTAGATTTCAAGTGCAGATGGGTGGCTTCTGATAACCTACAGTAAAAAATGAAACATCTGGACTAAATCCGTAACTTTTGAGAAAATATAAGGACTAAAGTTGTAACAAGAGAGTTAAGAGATTCTAGATTCTGACCTTGTACATTTTCGGCTGAGTGAAAAAAGGTTCGTCAATTTCATTATGCCCAAATCTCCGATAACACGTAATATCAACCACAACATCGGAATGAAACGTCTGCCGCCACTCAGCCGCTAGCTCACAAGCATGAACAACCGCTTCCACGTCATCACCATTAACATGAAAAATCGGAGCATCCAAAGCTTTAGCAACATCCGTACAATACTGTGAAGATCTTCCCGACTTCGGATCAGTAGTAAACGCGACTTGATTATTCACGACAATATGAATTGTTCCACCAGTTGTATAATTAGGAAGAGCGCTCAAATGCAAAGTCTCATAAACAACACCTTGTCCAGCAAAACTCCCATCTCCATGAATCAAAATCCCCATGTTCTTCGTTCTATCGACATCGTTCGAATAGTATTGTTTTGCTCTTGTTTTCCCAATCACAACAGGATCAACAGCTTCTAAATGACTAGGGTTTGCAACTAACGACAAATGAATATGCTTTCCACCTCTTGTGGCTCGATCATATGAAGTCCCTAAATGATACTTCACATCACCAGTTCCTGTATAAAGTCCGACTTCATCAATTGGTTTTGTTCCACCACTAAACTCGCTGAAGATTTGTCTTAATGGCTTCCGAACAACGTTTCCTAAAACGTTTAATCTTCCTCTGTGGGACATACCAATGACGATGTTTTCAACTCCAAGATCTGCTGACCTGTCAAACATCTCTTTCATACCTGGGATTAGGGTTTCACCACCTTCAAGACCGAATCTTTTTGCAGCTGTCCATTTGGTTGCTAGAAAGTTTTCGAATTGTGTGCTCCAAATGAGTCTATCAAGAATGACTTCGCGCCTTTTACTATTGTATTGACTTGGAGATGGGGTTTCTATTCTGTCTCTTAACCAGTTACAATGATCGCGATTTGCAATGTGCATGTATTCGTAACCTATGCTTCCACAATAAGCTTGTTCGAGTCTAGTCAAGATTGCTCTTAGGGTTTGAACAGGGCGATTTTCGGATAAAAAACCCGACATTTTCCATACCCCTAGGAAGAATTCACGGTCTAGGTCGGATTCAGTGAACCCGTAGAAACCCGGGTCAAGATCACCGGGTATGTCTCTTTGTTCAAGATCTAATGGGTCTAATTTGGCTTTCATGTGGCCATGAAATTGGTAAGCTCTCACAAGTAATAACAACTTCATGGATTCTTGAATGGTTTGACCGGATACTCCAGGGGATGTGGATGCTTGGCCTACGAAGTTTCTGAAGAAATTGTCCCATGATTCATCGACACTAGTGGGGTCCGCTTCCCAGGCTCTTTGCATTTCTTCTATGTAGACACTGTTGGTTCCATCTAAGAAGTTGTCTGATAATTTGGAAAGTGGAACAGATCGTGGAATGGGTGATTGTGGTTTTGATTTGGGAATTGTGGTGTGAAAATGGTGGATTCTTGATGGAAGGAGTCGAGGTCTTGATGCGTAGGATCTGCCTTGTGTTAGAGTTTTCCTAATTGCAAGCTTTGCTACACTAGTTCCAGCTCTCAACCATGCCATTTTTAACCTTCAAGTTTGTGTTCTAGAGCTCAATTCCTGCTTAAACAAAATTTGGTCATATAAACCAATGTGATTTCAAAATCTGTAGTAGAAGAAGGAAAGGTTTTTGATGTTAAAAAGAAGCAATATGTATGTATTACAATGGGGAAAAATCTATGCCAGGATCTCATAATCAAAAGCTTTGTTTAAGCACCATAACTATGATGTAACAGAAGGGGAAACAGTTTATAGACTTTTATACAACCAAATTTTTATATAAGAACTGTCTGGATTGATAAATTTAATGACTGTTGGATGAGGATGAGGATGAACATAGAAATCAACAGCAATTTCTAACGCAATGGTTTGGAGATAGAAGTAAATAAATTAAGGATGATGAGAAATGAAAAGACTAGTTTTGTGAGTGATGATAAGATGAAGAAGGGCTCTCATTCATTCTGATAAGGGGAAAAATCAGAAACAAAATAAAGGATCATGACAAAACAATATAGAATCTGATATCAACATCAAATTCCAATCCCTTGGATCGGAAAGAAAATAAATCAAAGAAGAATGCAGAGAAAAGAACAAACCCTAGGTTTATCAAAAGATGAATACACGATCTCATTTCCCTTTGCGCAGATTGTTTACATTCTGAGAGATTATAGATCTACGTAAACAAATTTTCTTCATGAAATAACACGTAAACAAATTAAAAAAAAACAGCGTAAGCTTGCATGTCATACAACATTATATTCAGAAATCAAGGACTATACACACACTGACACACATGAATTCGTTATCAAAATAGCAAAATTCCAACATACTACAAATTATAAATTACGCATCATAATCAGTGAAACAGAAAGCTAACAATACAGCATTAGAACCACAAGCCTAAAATCAGAATCAACATGGATTTCCAAACGGTTTATTCCGAAACAAATTAAAAATAACGAGGATGAACGAATACGAACAAACCTAGTTCTGTGAGAGATCAAAAACCGCTTCGGTTTCTCCTTATGAAGATTGTTTGCAGATAGCGTATATAGATCCCGATTTATTCATTCATTGCGACAAATAGCTTCGCCCCATTTGCACCTTAACCAGAGCATAAGAACAGTTACTACTACAATTCTGTTTCTCTTTCTAGAGACGACGATAGTCCATACGTTCTACTACTGCCCCCTGTAGGTTAACATATTTTCATTTTCGTCCTCCTAAGTTTTCTTTTTGTGTACATTCGTCCCTTAACCTTTTTGCTTCTTCCACTTAAAAAAATCAATTTATCTATATAAGATAATAATCAACATTTTATATATAAAAAATCACCTCTTTTTAGGAAATTGAAAAATGGTTAAATATTATTACATTACAATATAATAATATCTCATTCTTGGTGTTTTAAATATATGTATATAAAAATTATTTTGACAGTTTGTTTTCTCTAATTTACCACAATAATGTGGCACTGTATTTTGAAAATAAAAGAAAAGTATAGGGAACGTTAGTGTAAATATTTTAATTTATTGGTTGAGAAATTCTTAAACCGAATTTATTGTTTGATCATGAGAGAAAAGGCATACACGTGGAATATATATATATATATATATATATATATATATATATATATATATATATATATATATATATATATATATATATATTTTCATATTTTCTATTACAAGCGGCAGAATTGGTAGCCTTTCTTTTAGCGAAGAACAATTCTATTTTTTTTTTTTTCTAAAAAAAATTGTATTTTGTTTTAAGTTCCAAAAAAAAGTGAATAAATTTGACAAATATAACTTTAATTAAAGAATTAGAAGACTCGTTAGAATCGACATTCAACAATATAGTAAAAATATGACCGATCACACTAAAATCAATTTGTTTTGTATAGGATATTTTCTAAAGACAAAACTGCACAAATGATCCCTGTGGTATGCTGAAAATTGCCACTTTGGTCCAAAAAGTTTTGGACTAGCACCACAAGTCCAAAGTTTTCATTTTCTTACGAGTTTGGTCCAATTTACTTTAATAATTTTTGTAATGACAATCTTACCCTTCTTTTTTTTTTTTTCAGTTTTTTGTTTATTTAAATATTTTCTTAATTAAAAGAAAATAATTCTCTCTCTCTCTCTCTCTCACATCTAAATTTTTTCTGAAAATTAATTACCACCATCGTTAATGAACTCGAACATGTCATAAACTCAAGAACATCTTCCCCACCGCCATTGTTGGACCACCATCCATCACCACCACTGTTTTCCACCACTACAGTCCGATGCCACCACCGTCCACTACCACCATCTTCGACTAGATGTTTTCTACTTTTACAATCTAAAATGAAATTAGGGCTTTTAATTTCATTCCCGTGTTTAATGTATGATCGGGCAATGGATAAACACATATGAACACAAGGCAGCAGAAGGAACGGAAGCATCATTGCAAGTAGAGGAGAAATCGAACACCAATTTTGATTTTGGGGGTTCGATCCTTGGTTCCTTGCTCGTCGCAGGCCAGAAAAGGGACCAAGGGAGGTATCGGTGATTGCAGATCGTGAGGAGGGAGAAGTCTCCAGGTCGACGAGAGCGAAGTGACGCAGGTGGGAAGAAGCAGCGAGCGGTTGTGATTTCGGAGTTGTTGGGTTGTGGATGAGTAAGGGGAAACACCCTCGTTGTTTGAGTGAACTGAAGAAGGGAAGAAGAACATGGCAGTGAGGCTGTCGTCGAACTTGGTGGGTTCAGCGAGGGCTGTTAAAGCAGCTCTTGGTTGCTTGTTTCTGCTCCAGCTGAGGATCACGAGGGGGAGGAGGGAAGGAGTGATGAGACATCGGTGCAAGTGGGGAGGCTCGTGGGTTGGTCGAATGCTCACAGGTTGTTTACTTCTTCTTCTTCGTTTTTTTGATAAAAATTGATAGGGTTAAGCAGGTGTTTGGGATTGATTCTTGATAGAAATTTATGAACGGAAATGATTTTTAGGGTTAATGTTTTACAGGGGATCCATGGGTGTTTGTATGTTTTTCTTGATAGAAATTGATGGGTTTAAATCAATAGCTTTAGGTTGGTGTTTCATTTTGCTTGATAGAAATCGATGGGTTTAAATCAAATTTTAGTGTTTGGGATTGTATGAAGTTTGAAGAACATCATCCGAGTTTCCAAGAAACAAGATAGGGAAGAGTGAATCTTGGAAGTCTGGAACCTTTGAGAAAGAGAGAGAGAGAGAGAGAGAGAGAGAGAGAGAGAATTATTTTCTTTTTTAATTTTCTTTTAATTATCAAAATATTTAAATAAATAAAAAACTGAAAAAAAAAAACAAAAAATAAGGGTAAAATCGTCATTACAAAAATTGTTAAAGTAAATTGGACCAAACTCGCAAGAAAATGAAAACTTTGGACCTGTGGTGCTAGTCCAAAACTTTTTGGATCAAAGTGGCAATTTTCAGCAAACCACAGGGACCATTCGTACAGTTTTGTCTTTTCTAAAAACCTATTAGCATAAAATATTTACTTTATTTTTTTATCTTATTCTATGTAATCTTGTAAAAGATTACAAAGATTACAAGAATAAGCTAAATACAATAAATATTTTATGCTAATTAAAACCGGTTCTCAGTTCGATCCAATTCAAAGTTAACATTCCAAAAGCAAAACGTGGCCAAATTGAAATAGAAATATTTAATAATGGTATAAAGTGAAAAAGTTCAAAAAAATATGTGTAGGGAGTTGAATATCTAATACATCCCTCAAATATGAGCGGTCCATTGATTTTCAATGCCCGGTGCTTAATACTAAATTAATTCCCTTATATATAAAAAAGTTATATAGTAAAACTCAAATAAATTTTATAGTCAAACTAAATCAAGGTTATACAAACAAAAACATAAAATTGATCTAAAACAATGCCTCAATACAATCGTTTTTTTTTTATGATAATCAAGACTTAACAGATTTTGACTTTCCATACTCAAAACTGTGAATCCGTATAATCGTTCATGAGTGATGGTCCTTCAAAGATATAATTTAACAACTCTAATTTCACAAAAACTTCTTTTTGCTGAAGCAACTATGTGCCAACAGCAAAATATTATATGCTACCAACTTATTGAGAAACATGTACATATCCTTTGCAAACTCCATAATTTGAATAGTTGTTTGAAAGGGTTCACTTTTTTATGTTTCATCCAATAACATTTCCTGCAAAACTTTGTAACTCAATAAATAAGTCTTCTGCATCATTATCAAGTTCACCAACTCTAACTAAATTCCTATTTAAAAACCTTAGTAACTTATTCATAAGATGTTCTCTCTTTTTTTTATTTCTATTTTGAGCACCCAATACTAGTTTACTAAGAAGCATATTTATCCTTAAGAAAAAAAAAAGATTGGAAGTCAAAAAGATAGATTAGAAGCAAAAAAAGGATACAACGTGAAGTTGGCTATCCATAACCACAACCTAAACAAAAACAAAAAATTGTATCAAAATTTCATAATTAACATTTCATATTTTCATTAATTAAATTAACATCAACATTTTAGAAATCTGATACATCATATTTTCATAAATTAAAATAAGTAATCAGATTATTTAGAAAAGCCACATCATATTATACATTAATAAAAAACACATATGCTTTTCAAAATCAGAATTCAGATATCAAAATTTACATATTAGATTTTAAATATTAGATAAATCAGAATTTTAGAAATCAAAATAACTTATCAGATTTTTGACATACATCAAGTTTTCATATACCTCAGATTAATCAGAAATCAAAAACACATCGGGTATTCAAAATAATAATTCACATATTAGAATTTCAAAATCAGATTTACATATCAGCATTTAAAAATTGGAATTTACATATCAGAATTTAGCATACATTAGAGTAATAAAAAATCAGAAAAATAATTACATCATGAATTTAAGAAAATCTTACTGCAGAAAACCTTATAAAAGTCACAAGAAAATGAAGAAAAAAATTACCTCGAAAACTAATGAATCTTATAGTAGGTCTAGATTGATAAAACTACAACTTTGATCAACAATTTCACTTCACCAGTAAGCTTTATAAGAATTCTGAAATTTTAGAAATATTAATCAATCATCACTATCAAATTTTCGCAACTTCACGTAGGTTATCCAAGAAATTTCAAACACTAAAAAAGACTTACTAGATTAGGACATTAGGTGGGTCGATTAACTCAATCACCCTGAGAAGACCGATAAGAAATTTAGTACATTGAAGGCTCGTTTGAAACTTCAGAAAGAAGGAAATTAGGGGAAGCGACTGAGTTAGGATGAGAGAAAAGAACCATGAGTTTACAGTTTACTTTACACTGGATCATGATTTTTAAATTTAATCACCGATCATCATTCGCAGAACCAGACGCCTCGTCTTCTTCATCTTCATTTATTAGGCGTGCCTATTTCTTAGATAAAGATTCAAGAAGTCAGAAGTTTGATAAGTCGATTTTTCAGTAGGCGCCTAATTAGGTCTCGATAGTAACGCTTCCGGACGCCCTAATAGACTAAACCTGCTACTAGATTAAATTTGGCCCAAATATTGCAATACCAACAACAAACCACGAAAAACTGATGCCCCATTAAGATTTGTTGCCCTGGGCCATGGCCCAGTTCGCCCTGGGCTTGGGCCGGCCCTGAATATGAGGGACCTGTTTTGAAAATATTCCCTAAATCTGGCGGTAGTGAAGGCCATGCCAAATCAACAATTTTTGAAAATGAAAGGTTGCAGAAAAAGAATGGTGTAAAAAACATTGTTTTTTTTTAAATAAACCAATAAAAACATATTGCTTTTTTTAGACTTATTGGCTTTTTGAAAAGCAATCCCAAACACCCAAAGTACTCAAAAAGGGAGGGAGATTCATTTGCCTTGAACTCAGCCATGTTGAAGCTCTAGTTTTCAAGCAACTGTTGATATTCTTTGAGATATTCTTTGAGCTTGCACTTGAGTGCTTGCAAAATATAGTAATGTAATCTCATTCATTTGTTATTATATCATTTTACTTTATGTTTCTTTATAGTATTATACTTTAAAAAAACTACCAAATTATATCAATGCCATCTAAATACAAATTAATTTTCACTAGATTTTTCCAAGTATAATGTCCTGATAAGAAAAAATTAAAAAGTATTATGCCTAAATAAAAATAAATAGACAGGAATGGAAGTAGGATGCTATAATACACAAATAAATGAAAGTAAGTTGTTATTTATGATGTAAAAACATCTTTAATGTTGACCATACCTGACCTTAATGAAAACAAAACAAAACAAAACAAAAAACACTTTTAAGTTTGAGTATGAGTCTTGTGGGAGTAGTGGTGGCACTCAATTCTGGGTTGAAACTTTGGATGCTTTTGGACTTGTTATTTAACTTTAATAAAGATACAGAAGTTGGATCCTCACATTTTACACCATATTTTGGATATCATAGGAAACACAATGTTAATTCTATTAATGTCTTGTATAAATACAAAACTCTTTAAAAACATGGTTTACAATAAACGGGTGATTTTAAAATTAGTTATTTTAGATACACATAAACTATTGGATAAATGTTTAAATAAATATCCCTTAAAAATTGAATTCTTTATTTCAACATATTCATTCCAATTCTTATTATATTATACTACGACCCAAAGATCTTAATAACCCAATCTGATCTCATCTCTTCAGTATTTATTCTATAGTCACGTCTTTGATCTACTATATACAAAACGTATGTATATACACTTAGCATGTTGTACAACACTATATATATATATATATATATATATATATATATATATATATATATATATATATACTTGTTGGGTCAGCACGTCATTGTTTTGTATATAGAAGAGTTTGGTAGTCCCTCTTTTGGCTTCCATATGATATGGTCGAGTTTACCACAAAAATCCTTATAGAACTGAGATACAACAAAAATAATCATTACAATTTTCAAAACACAAGTGTAAAGAGAAGGATGAAGTTTGTGTTTCTTGCCTTATGGTATTCAAGAGTATCTCCAGCAGCCTTTCGAACATCCACCATGAAAATAGATGTTGCCACTTCATACACCTTAATTAATAGTGATTATATATGAAATTTGTAACTCACTTTTCCAACAACAACAAAAAATGGGGTGTAAAATGTAAAATAGAATGATAGTCAAGAATTATACCTCTAAAACAACAGCAAACTGTCCAGCACGATTCACGGATGCACCCTCGAGTCTAGTCTGTGGAACATTACATAACAATTTTGGAATCTAGTTTGAAAATTTTAAGAATTTTATTTCTTTTAAAATGTACCTTGTAGCCACGTCTAATGACCTTAAAACCCAACAGTTCAGCAACTGTTGTGATTGCTGAAATTATATCTTTAGCAGGCTTACAGGAAACAAAACGAGTTTGTCGTCTTACATGATCCTATTTTGGTCTTTATTGTGATCATTATCCCTACATATGATATAAACATAAACATAAACATAAAAACACAGTTTTAAATATACCTGACGTCTATCAAATAAGGCAGATAGATTCAGTCCTTGAGAGAGAGTGATCATCTCAAACACATTCATTGTTAAAGGCGCAACTTTCTCCTCCGATCTTTCCATTACATATTCATCCTACAAATATATGGTTAGGGTTTAGGGTTTAGGGTTTATATGTGGTATAAATACCAAACAAAGTTGAAATTCAAACCTCAATGTCATCAAAAACTGCACGAACATCATCCAAACTCGCATCACCTTCTTCACCCTGACTGATTGATACATAGTTCATTTGGAACCATGGATGCTCCCTTATTCCATCAATTCGAATACGCTAAAATAACAATGTTATGTAAAAAAAATAGAATCATACTTTGAAAGTACAATGTTATTACAGATACTCACAGTTTGAGGGTTGGGATCCAAAATCTTGTCTAGTAATGACTTTGCACCAGAAGCGAACCAGAAAGGATATGAAAACTCAGCAGCACTGACCTGAGTGATTAGTTGCAGATCTTCTTAAAAATTAAATATAAAACCGTTTTACAAAATAATGATGAATTTATAGATGATAAAAGTCTTTGATATTTAACCTTTTTATACAAAGTTGGAAGATCTGACTCCTCAAATGGAAGATATCCGGTTAATAGGACATACAGGATGACTCCACATGACCAGATATCAGCAGCCCCACCATCATATCCGCGTTTTCTTAAAACCTAAAAGTCAACCATGGTAAAAGTCTTGTTCAAAGAAGAAAATTTAGAAGAAAATTGTTGATAAAAATTTGATGTTGTTTTGGTGAACCTCTGGTGCGATGTAATTTGGTGTTCCACAAGTGGTATATAAAAGTTCAACACCCTGGAAAATAGTTTTGTATTAGAGAATAAATATAAATTATAAACACTGTGAAAAGATATGGAAAATAATTATATGCTTACTTCTTGTGGGAGTGCACTGAGTCCAAAATCTGAAACCTTTAGCCTTTCTTTGGAATCAATAAGGAGATTTTCAGGCTATATATTACAAGAATGAAGAAACACTGTTAGTATAAAATAAAAAATTTAATATAAATCCTCACACCTTAAATGATCTGATTATTCTTAAAACTTTGTGTCTCTTACCTTTAAATCCCTATGGTAGACACCCTTGGAATGGCAATGGGCAACTGCATCGATAAGTTGTTGAAAGTATCCCCTGGCTTCCTTCTCTGAGAGCTTTCGTTTGTGAACCTAGGGTCACGAGGGTAGTTTAGGTATTTTATGTATCAAATAGTACTTCTATCAAAAAAGTAGATCTTACAATTCTGTCAAAAAGCTCTCCTCCAGTGACAAATTCCAGTATTATATATATCTTTGTATGGCTTGACAAAACCTAACAGAAGGAAAGGATCATGTCATTAAAAAAAATTAGAAATCATATCAGGATATGTATTTGCTGAGATAGTAATTAAAATGTATTTTATGATTTCAATTATACCTCATGCAGTCTCACGATATTGGGATGTCTCACTATCTTCATAATGGAGATCTCTCTTTTAATCTGCAAATCAACTTAAATAAGTTATATACTATTAGCAACTTGATATAACTAAGAAAAAAATCACAAGCATCATACTTTGGAAACAAATTTTGGTCAAATCTCCAATAATTTGATGACAATTAGGATCAAGTAGCAACACTTAACCAAGCTTGAATTGTTTAGTAAGAAATGAAGTCATAAATAGACATAACTTAGCATCCATGTCTTTTAGAATATGGTTTGGGTGAATAATCAGATGGATTCAATAAAGAAGAATTGTAAATACTCCAAGAACAAAAGATGGCAAATGGATAGATAATTCACTTTGTCTAGACTTCTAGTTAATTGAAGTGTTTGCTAGTATATTCTTGGTGACTTCTTATTCAGCCTTATTTTAGGCCTCACACTCTTATATTCTATTCATAAAAACTAAAAGCATTTGTTGCATAAACTTGTTCAAATTATATGCTTGAATTCTGTGTTTCATTTGTTCAACCTCTTCATAGCAGTTGAACTTATTTTCCTCCCTTATTTCAGTTATGAATTTATGATGCTGTTCAAAACTACAGACAAGCTAAAAGGCCATATTCCATGGTTAAAATACAGGTGCAAATACAGGAAACAGAAAAGAGGGAAGATTAAACCATCTTTGTGATACAAGCAAGATTACTAGATTAGTTTACAATATATCTAACAGATGCATCTTTGGTACATGTTATGTAAGATTTTGAGTTGAAGAGAACAATTGTAAGTGAAAATCAAACCTGATCCACCATTTTATGCTTCAGTATTGTGCTTTTAGCCAGAACCTTAACAGCAACAACCTCACCAGTCTTTGTGTTTTTCGCAAACTTGACCTTTGCAAATGTGCCTTCACCAATTGTTCGACCAATCTCATATTTCCCGACCTTCTTTGTTACCTTCTTCATCGTTAACCTAAGGCTCAAAGAACATATAGATCATCCACAATTTCTGACCACTGGTTAAAGACAATGGAAAAACTACGCATCATTCAATATTTATAACTATCTATGTAAAATAACAAAAGTCAAATTTATAAAGTAAGTTCTATTGAAAGGTCATTCTAATCCAAACAGTTCTATCATTCACGATGATAATATTTTTTTTTCATTGATGTGACGTATCATAATCTATACCTAACTATTAGTTCCTTTCACGCTTTTCACATAGATCAAATCGGAATCTCACTAAGCACATGGAGGAAACACGAACTTTATATTTCCATTTTGAGCTTGTTGATCCTCTTCAACACAATATGACACAAATTTTAACAAAAGAATACCAAAACATTATCATTAGTCTCTTTTGACCTGACGAATCGTTCTTATCACAAGTAATTGCAATTTCTAAATTATACAAAATCACAAATGCAAACCACACACAACGACTCCTAATTATATATGCAGATACACAAAGACATATACCTTTAGCTAGGTACAGTTTTTACACACAAGTAAAATTCAATGCAATTAAATTGAAGAAAATCTTCAGCCGGCACTTACATGGAAGAAGAAGCGTGTGACCGGAGTTGCGGCAGAGATAGAAACCGGTGATCAGATCGTCTGGAACTCCAACGAGTACACAAACTGAGTCGATACGGTGCGTCGCGCGCGAGAGAGAGATATGTGGGCAAATTTGGCTAGCAGCCTGCCTAGCCCGCTCAAAGTGGAAAACAGAAAAGCAATAAGCTTTTTAGGGGAAACACATGTATAGAAAGGCATAACATTCAATGCATGAAGTGCGTGTTTTCTTTTCAAAAGAATATTGTATTCAATAATTACGGCTTTGGACAAACGAATGGTTTAACAAAGTTGGGTACTTTTCCTTGATTTATTAGTGTTTTAATATTTAATATTAGTGATATTACTAAAATAACCTTTAAATTACTAAAATAACGCTTGCTTAGCTACATGAAGATTGTAGAGCCATGACGATGATGTGGAGGCGGTCCCCCAACTACTACAATAATAGGTTTTGACCCTTCATATATTAATTTGTTGCGATATATAGAAGATCAAAATCAGAATTAAATATTTGTATTAAAATGATTAAATATAAAGTTTGAATCAATGATCTTATCTTTATTTTTAGAGTAAACTAGGTGTTTGTTTGCGGAATGATCTTATCTCTATCTTTAGAGAGTCGGGTGTGGGCAAAGCGCAACCCACGTTATCCGATTTGGCACGCTAATAACGGCGCCATAACGGGTGGAACACCGCCCCGCCTAGCCGTTATTAGGTGTTACGTTACTATATGTTATCACGACAACGGACCATAACGCGGTTAATTGATGCAAACGGTCACAATTTCGACCGTATTTTCAAACGGTAACTTATTAAAAAAATTACACTATAAATACATACAACTTATATCATTTTTAAATACAAAAAACATAAATTTCTTTCAACTACATAATTCTTTCAATATTTCCAAATTCCAAAATATGAATCGTCTTGATCCGGTTCATCCGTACAACGATGATAACGACGAAGACAATTTGTACGTGAGTATGATGTATCGGTATTTTACAGACAACCTATTACAGCCAGATCCAACTCCACTACTCACACGACGTGCGGCGTTAAATAGAGATCATGAGGAAGAGAATAGACGGCTAGTTAACGATTACTTTGCTGAAAATTGTGTCTACCAGCCAAGCGATTTCAAAAGAAGATTTCGTTTGCGAAAAAATGTCTTTGAAATGATATTCAACGCTATGGAAGCAATGCATCGTTTATTTCAACTTTTATAAATTACAAAACGTCACTTTTAGATAAAATAAATATATTTTTACATGTTTAATATTTATTTAGGTATTGTTTGTTTCAATTTTTATAATTTATAAAATGTCACTTTTAGATAAAATAAATACAATATTTACATGTTTAATATTTATTTAGGTATGAAAATTTTCAAATGAGATATGATGCTAGAGGCAAACGAGGCTTCATAGGGTTGCAAAAATGTGTTGTTACAATAAAACTTATGGAAATGGGGGAGTTGCCCGATTCTGTTGTCGATTATATGAGAATGTCTGAGAGGACCGCACGAGAAAGTTTGTATTTATTGGCAAGAGGTGTTGTTGAAACCTTCGGTGACCAATACTTGCGCAAACCTTCGTTGCATGATATGCAACAACTATATGCGGTGAATGAAGAAAGACATGATTTTCCGGGTATGCTTGGGAGCATAGACTGTATACACTAGAAATGGAGAAATTGCCCCGTAGCGTGGAAAGGCCAGTATTCGAGCGATCATCATGGAGCACCTTCGTTGGTCTTAGAGGTTGTTGCTTCACAAGATTTATGGATTTGACATGCTTTTTTCGGGGTTGCAGGTTCTAACAACGACGTCAACGTTCTCGATCACTCACCAATATTTGACGATCTTTTGTCAGGAAAAGCCCCGGATGCTCCATTCACAGTGAATGGAAACCAATATAAGTTTGGGTATTACCTTACAAACGGAATATATCCACAATATTCTATGTTTGTGAAGGCGTTTCGACACCCAATAGATCCAAGGGACAAATATTTCAATAGACGACAAGAAGGAGCACATAAGGACGTTGAACGTGCTTTTAGGGTTTTTAAATCAAAATGACACATAGTTGAACACGCAGCAAGACCTTATGAGTTAGATACTCTACGATATATCATGTATGCATGTATCATAATGCATAACATGGTTGTCGAAGATAAGGACGCAATATTGCAACGTATTCGCCTACGGAGCCAAGACATGTGCAATTTCAACCAGAGACATCGTAATATTTACATAAAGTGGTTGATTTTCAAGATCAGCGAAAACACAAGCAACTCCATGAAGACTTGGCAGATTCCATCTTTGTTGGTCACGAAAACGAAGACGAATAGTTTTAGGCCAAAAAATGTAGGTTTTATCTTCTTTTTTTTTCTTTTTTTTTCTTTTTTTGCTTTTTAGGTTTTTAAATGTTTTTGTGTTTTGTTGTAATTTTTTAATGTCGTTTTTAATTTAAGATTTATTAAAAATTTATTTTTACTTTTTAAATACAAATAAATAAATAAAAATTCGAAATATAGAAAAAAACATAAAAAATAAGATAGAAAATAAAATAGAAAATAATTGGTGTTATCACATGTTATAATACCCATGTATGAGTAGGATGCTGACATGACACCTTTTGGGTGTGGTAACATGTAATAACATGTTGCCCACACCTAGTAGTCTTAGAGTAAGGGTTAATGACCTAGAAAGGTAACAAACTTTGGTGTTTGTCCATATTTAGGTAACCATGTTTTTTTCATTCACATTTAACCATTGAACTTGTTTGACCTGTTCAAAATAGGGTAATATGACCAGTAATTACGGTAATATTACACTATTATGAACAGGTCAAACAAGTTTATTGGTCAAATGTGGACAAAAAAACATAGTTACCTAAATACGGATAAAAACCAAATAAACTCTTGAATTGGTGAAGTGGTTGTAGGTGGATTAGTGGATTGTGAAGAGAAAGAGAAGTAATTGGTTGTTTGATAATGTTTTCGAAAGTAGGAGAATTAGTGGTGGAAGTAGTGGGTATGATAGGTGTGATTTGTGGAGGAAAAGAAACAAAGGTTTCTGAGGTAACAGTCGAAGGTTTACCTTGGGTTTCGTTCTTTGAATCATCCTCACCCATGATGACATTTGCATCCGTATTAGATACGTTTACAATAATGTCTGAAGTTTGGGCCTCCTTAGATAATGACTTGGCAACCGAATCTTCGGGTGGTATAATATATGTATGTGCAGGAGTAGAAGTTTCTTTGTGAAGATTGACCTCAGGAGTTTCTGGAATTGTCTCATCATCATCAGCTGTGGACTCAGAAGAAATAATCATCTTGCTTTTCTTCTTTTTCTTCTTGGAAATGTGTTTAGCCATATCAGTAGCTCTTCGTCTCTTTGACGATGGTGAAGCATGTGCTGGAACTTCATGAAATAGAAGTCCTTGATGAGTAATCTGTGGCTTTCGGACAACATTCGTGAGTAGAGATCGGCTCTTGTGTTTGGATTTCATTTTGATTCTTCGAAAGACACCGGTCTTCAAAGGAATAATCTCTTTTTGAGTTATGGGTGTATCAATAACTATAACTTCGGGTATTGTTGGCTCTACTTCAGTAACTGGTAACTTCTTCGGAACCTTCGTAGATTTAGACTCTTTGACTTGTTTCTCAGAAGAACCAACATCAGTCTTCTTCGTACATTTAGACTTTGTCTCTTCTCTTTCCAAAAGAATTCCATTTTCAATAGTTATATCAATTGTTTTCAAGTGAGTTAATAAGACTGTGTTCCTAGGATTGACTCGTTTGAGCATTATATCTGGAATACGAGCTACAAGTGGAAACTCCTCAGCATCATCAGTTGCATCCTTCGGACAACTATACACATGGAAAACAACTTTTTCTTCATCATTAGGAACCATAATCCCCTCCTTCTCATAGAAATACTACAAGATCAAGCTCCAGTATCTCGTACACGAAATGCCATGAAGAGCATTTGTGTTTTCAATACTCTTCAAGAATTCGTTCCACAATTGAGTAGAGTAATCCACTTGAAGATCATAATATAGCCCTGTGTAGCAACCTGAAAATTTTGCTTTGAAATCTTAGTCAGTTAACTCAACTCAGTGACATACTCACTCCTGCTATCATTTAGCACAATTTGGAGCATGTTTGAGTGTTCTGAGCCTAATACACTAAAGGAATGAGTGCTAGGAAGTACCAGGTAGAACCACTGAGAAATGATCAAGCCTAAATCACCAACACCATGAGTTCACGACCACCACATTGGAGTTTATGGCCGTAAACTCCATGTGGGTCGTAAACTCACCCTATATATTCAAGTGTTGGCCAATTATTTCATTTCTTTCTTTCCTTGTCGATTTTCCCTCATTCTCTCTCAACTATCATCCAACTTTCACCTTAGATATTCAAAAGTGTAAGTGTTCTATCCCTTGATTAGTTGATACATCTTATTAACTAGCTTCATACATTGATTTCATCCATGAAAATCATGTTTGTTTAGATCTTCAAGTTTCACCAAGAACACCAAGAACACATACTAGTGTTCTTGGCCAAGATCAACCATTTCAAGCCTCTATATCGTAAGTGATCTTCCCTACACTTGATATCTAGTTAGGACCCATGCTTAGGGACTTGAAAACATCACCAAACTCATCATCTAGTGAGTTTACGGCCCAAGAGTAAACACCCTTGACCGTAATTAAACTCCATGAATGGTCAAAATGTGGACCTTAAACACATCCATGCTCCTGTTTAAACTTAGAACATTTGAAACCTTGAGACTCCTTACCTTTAAGACCCTAAAAGTGACCAAATAGAGAGTTTACGACCAAGAGTAAGCTCCCGAGGGCCATAAACTCCTCAACACTCTCCAATAAGTGGGTCTTTCTCATCATTGTGTAGACCAAAAGTCCCTCAAGCTTCCCTAGCCTTCAAACCAACACTTATGCATGTTTGACCATGATTTTACAGTCCTAAACTCCCTTTGGTCGTAAACCCATGGTAGTAAACTCATGTTAAGGTCATTCCACACTCCTTAGTCCAATCACATGTGATTCTAACACTTGGTCTAAGTGCTTCCTAGTCCCGTGGGGTGTTTCCTTTCCTTTGGTTACCTATAAACCCTATATTTATGTCAATATATGTCATTTAGGACTTGTTAAGTCTCGGGACATCATTCGAGGAGCTTCTCATCCTTACACGCATAACCGTTTGAATCACCCACATCAAGTGAGTTCATACCCCGTAATCAATCTTTTAAACTGTTTTAAATGCTTTGGGGGGGGGGGGGAATACAAGTTGAACACAATTGATAATTGTGTAATTATTTGTTAAGGTGCCATAAACTGATTTTCCCCAGCTTCAAGCCAACACGACGGCGTACGACACTTTTGTCCGTACAAAGCTTGATAAGGTGCCATCTTTATGCTCAAGTGGAAACTATTATTGTAGGAAAATTCTACCAAAGGTAAATGTTCATCCCAATTACCTAGGAATTCCAGGGTACATGCTCTCAGCATATCTTCAAGTGTTTGTATTGCTCTTTCACTCTGACCATCAATCTGCGGATGGTAAGCTGTACTTAAACATAACTTGGTACCCATTTCCTCTTGTAGACTTTTCCAAAACCTTGAGGTGAAACGACTATCACAATCCGATACAATCGTTAACGGAACACCGTGAAGCCTCACAATTTCCTTCACATAAGAATTCACGAGCTTTTCCATAGATCATTTCTCATTGGCTGCTATGAAATGCGCACTCTTAATGAATCGATCAACGACCACCCAAATCATGTCGTGACCATTCTTTGTTCTGGGTAGTTTAGTGACAAAATCCATCGCAATGTCTTCCCATTTACCCATAGGCACAGGTAAAGGTTCTAAACTCCCATATGGTTTCTGATGTTGTGTATTGACTCTCGTACAAGTCACACACTCAGCCACATACTTTGCAACATCAAGTTTCATCGTTGGCCACCAGTAGTAGGGTTTTAGGTCCCTATAGATTTTAGTGCTGCCAGGATGAATCGAGTACATGGTTTTGTGAGCTTCTTCCTTTAGAAGATCCATAATTCCTCTTGACTTAGGTAACCAAATACAATCTTGGAACACCTTCAGTCCGTGACTGTTTATACCGAACACCAACGTTTTGCCCAAATGTTCTTCCTTTCGGTCATTCTTCTCAGAAGCTTCCTCTTGAGCTTTCTTTGTACTCTCCACAGTTGTCGAGACAACTTCTATTCTCAACGCTCTTGACCTTTTTCTCTCAACATTGACTTTCCGACTAAGAGCGTCAGCAACAACATTAGCTTTACCGGGGTAGTAAAGTATCTCACAGTCGTAGTCCTTGAGTAACTCTAGCCAACGTCGTTGCCTCATATTTAACTCTTTATGATTAAAGAGATATTGGAGACTCTTATGATTAGTGAAAAGTTTGCACTTTGTGCCATAGAGGTAATGCCTCCATATTTTCAGAGCGAAAACCACCGCTACCAACTCCAAATCATGAGTCGGGTAATTCTTTTCATGCTCCTTTAGTTGTCGAGACGCATATGCTATCACCTTTTCTCTTTGGGTCAAAACACAACCCAATCCAACCCCAGACGCATCGCTATAAACAGCGAAGTCTTCAACTCCATCGGGTAAAGAAAGCATTGGTGCCTCGCATAGCTTCTTCTTTAGCTTCTCGAATGCTTCTTTATGCTTATCATTCCAAACATAAGTAGCTCCTTTGTGGGTCAAAGTTGTTAATGGAGTAGCAATCGAAGAAAATCCTTGGATAAACCTTAGTAATATCTGGCTAATCCTAAAAAGCTTCGGATCTCCGTGGGACTTTTCAGTTGTTCCCACTTCATTACATCCTCAATCTTTGCTGGATCAACCATTATCCCTTCTTGGTTGACGACGTGACCCAAGAATTGGACTTCACGAATCCAAAAATCACATTTGGATAAATTTGCATACAACTTCTCCTTCTTTAAGACTTCTAACACTTCTCGCAAGTGTCTGCCATGCTCCTCTTGGCTTTTCGAGTAAATCAGAATGTCGTCTATGAACACTATCACAGATTTATCAAGCACCAGATTACAAACCCTATTCATCAAATCCATGAATGCTGCTAGAGCATTGGTTAGTCCAATCGACATAACCAAGAACTCGTAGTCTCCATATCTAGTTCTGAATGCAGTGTTCTCGATATATTGTTCTCTCACTTTTAGCTGATGATATCGTTACCTTAGATCGATCTTCGAGAAATAGTTCGAACCTTGCAATTGATCAAACAGGTCATCAATCCTCAGCAACGTATATCTATTCTTTATTGTTGCCATGTTCAACTCTCTGTAATCAATGCACATTCTCATTCTTCCATCTTTCTTCTTCACGAATAACACCAGAGCTCCCCAGGGCGATGAACTAGGTCTAATGAAACCTTTGTCCAATAACTCCTAAAGTTGCAACATCAACTCCTTCATCTCCGTCGGTGCTAATCGATAAGGTGCTTTTTCTATTGGCGTGGTCCCTGGTAACAAGTCTATTCTGAACTTCACTTGTCTATCAGGTGGTAATCCAGAAAGATCTTTGGGAAATACTTCCGAATAATCACACACCACTGGAATACTCTGCATCACCTTCTTTTCCTTCTTAGCATCGATCACGAATGCTAAATATGATGTACATCCCTTGGTCAAACACTTTCTGGATTTCATTAGGGAAATTATTTCATAATTTACTCGAAGTTTGTCCCCGTACACCATAAAAGACTCTTTCCCTGGCGAGTTTACTTTTACTATCTTCTTCTTGCATAATATCTCGGCGTCATTGGCGCTAATCCAATCCATTCCCATAATGATGTTGAAACCATTTAGTTCGATAGGCAATAATTCCTCATGAAACTTATTCCCATTAAGGTCGATTAAGATGTTTTTCATATGATGGCTAACAGGTACAAACTTGCCACTAGCAACTTCGACTAATAAAGCATTATCTAGTCTATCAACAGGCAAAACTAGTTTTCTACCAAACTCATGCGAAATAAAGGAGTAGTTGGCTCCAGAATCAAACAAAATTTTAGCAGGTAATTCGTTTATGAGAAAGGTACCTGAAGCGACATCAGCTTCATCCTTCGCAACCTCAAGTGTCATTTGGAAGGCTCTTGCCTTCGGCTTTAGTGGAATGGTGGGCTTAGCTTCCTCCTTCTTCTTCGGATAGTCTTTCAAAATGTGCCCCTCTTCATTACAACCAAAACACATCCTTTTGTTGGACGGACACTCATTGGCAAAATGCCTAATTTTTCCACACTTGTAGTAGGTTACATCCTCACTACATTTCCCAAAGTGCTTTTTCTTTCACTTCTCACACCATTTCGCTTCTCCTCCTTTTCCTCCAAACTTTTTCGAATCAGACTTCGAAAATTTGCTTTTCTTATTGGAACCTGAAGTTTCTTCAAACTTTCTCTTCTCGCCAACTTCAACCTTGCTGGCGGATCTTCCCTTGATCATGTCCTCAACAGACTTGGCATCCCAAATAGCCGCCTCTAGAGTAGGTGTCTGACGAACTGGCACTGTGTACTCGCATTAGAGCCCCTTTGCGTACCGGTCAACCTTTGTCAGCTCATCTGGAACGATGCGCAAGGCAAACTCCATCTTGTCTGTAAAGTTATTAGTGTATTCATCAACTGACATGCTGCCTTTCGTCAATGTTAGAAACATATTCTCCAATTCCAATAGATTTTGAGCCGAGCAGAACTTGCACTTGAACTGCACCAAGAATTCTGCCCATGTCAATTGTAGTGGCTCATTAGGGCTTAAAGTCTTCCCTAGAGTGTTCCATCAATGAACAACTCCACCTCGGAACTGACGCACTGCATAGGTAGTCTGCAACTTGCCTCTACAGCCACA